TTTTATGGCATAGGCCGATAAACGACCAGACGGATCACCTGATGGTAAGCAATCGGCGTCGCCCATGGACACCTGGAACACCAGATGCGTTACAAGTGCTTTACCGGCTTTTTGGGGATTCGGAGTTTGAGGATCGTTGGGGATTCATGGAATGGGGAAGGGGAGGGTAATATGGCCTCCGGTTATGTCACTCACACGACGAAACACAACGCAAGCGTTGCTTCACGTCGGTTTTCTGTGAGGGCGTGGTATCACTCCGGTCGAGCCGGCCCATTTGTGCCGAAGCATGGCTCTCCCACACCTAAAGATATTTCTTGAACACTTTGTTACTTCACTATATAAACATATTTTTTTAAATATATTATTATGCATTAAAACTGCCATTTTAATGCAATTTAAATAGCAGTCAGTATTCGTGGTGATTGTAAAACATTCGATAATTGCTTTAATACAATTTAGAGATAAAATAATATCAATAGGATATTCCGGAATCAGTAACGCTTGAATACTATATACCTATTAATCTCAATCAGCTAAATATTTCACAACATACTTCCAACAATATAAATTGCTTGCTTGCTTACTTACCTATGTATCTACGAAAGAGTACGTACATTGACTCTGTGTACCAGTAGCTACTAGTAAGGTACTCTATGTTATTTGTGTTTACCCTTTAAATATCTATTTTAGTCGGTTTTCACCACTCTCGTGGGAAACCAAGCGTTCACTATCGACTCCACAACCGTCAAAACTGATTTAGTTTGGTACGAAGGTACCGTTACGTCGGTAACTACCCATCCATTAATTAAATTATTATTGTAATGTATTACTTTGAACAAGAACATTAGAAAAACGACCTCGACACGTACCTAAAATGAAAGAACTCTCTTATTTTCTTTTCCCTAGTAGGTAAGCCGAACACAAATTAAGATTGTGGTAAAACAAAAAGTACGAAACCTTAAAATATAATGGGCGATTTCATGTTTATTGAAATAAGCAATATTTGTGCGTTCACATCGATCACGTTGATTAGTAGCACGCGAGGCGTCTAGCACGCGAAACGACGCGACGCCGCCGCGCGGCCGTGCAGACACCGCGCCGTGCCGACTCCAACACGTAGCCGACACGAGCCGCGCCGGTTCACCCAGCTGTAGATACTCGCAATACTCGCAATAAAACAGGAAGGGTCGCGGGTCGCAGCTGCTTGACGCAATCTGTCTACTGCCTCCATTGGCCTATTCTCATCAATCACCACATTTGGTATACATCGGAAACAGATATTGTACATTTATTTTTCGTATTTTATGGGGCCACGTTCGGCACAGGTAAATTATTAGTACTCTCGTTATTTCCAGGCCCTTCTGTTGCGCCCCTGAACCGTACGACTATTTAATAAATATTATTTAATTTACTTATTTTTGAACTAAAAGATCCTTTATACTTACTGGTAGCAAGTAATGTGCTCTGGAATTTGCAAAGCATTTTACAAATATCGAATCCGAGAGGAATATGTTGTCAATGCCGTTGCATTTCTTGGTATTTCGAGGTTCCAATAATATTATTGGAATATTTATTATTTTTATCGAGATTTTGGAACACGTAGGTCGGATTCCATCAAAATTCAGCTACTAATTGGTTAAATTTTGAAGTTCAGTAGAATTTTCCGTTTATAGAAAAGCAAAATGTTTTTTTTGAAATGGCTTCTGCATCGGTTAGATCAAATTATAACTCACTCAATCTGTGTCGTTTGACCGAGATGTTGTTAGGTTAACATAGACCTACGCATGGAGATAGCATGATCAACTTTACACTTGCATTCCAGGCCCTCCTTTTAACAACAATAGGCATGAAATGTGCTTCACTCGCAATTTACGTGTTTGAGATTGAGATTATCTCGTTGATGTGTATAAATATATTGGTCACAAGAATCCTTGCTGGTGGTGTTACATATACAGGGTGTAAACGGTACGCTCCCGAAACCCGCTTCAGGTGATGGTAAAAACCGAGTTTTATTTTCATAAAAATAAGGATTGCAATATTTCTTTTATGTAAGAATAGTTGTAATCAACTGTTCCAGCCTGATGTTGCATGAGCAACGAAAACAAAAACGATGACAATAATTGTAAAAAGAATTTTTTTTTTGTTTGCGTTCAGGACCATTCCATTTACACCCTGTATGTATGCGAGCGCCCTTGCATCTGTTACATATTATATGCATGCGAGCGTTTCGGATTCCAATAATATGATGTTATTCAATTAGCGATAGACGTAGGTAACAATGTCATGCATGGTCAAAATAACGCAGTGATGATATTCGTCAGCAGGTTCGCGAAACATAAATGTCTAAATTTTTATAAATAGTAGGTATATCATTATTTGCTCAGCACTGACCGTCTTCTGGCTGATCATGGATAATAATAATAATATTTTAATACTTTTGAAAATATTATTTCATATCGATACACTTTACACAAAATCTTAAAAAGGTAAAGTCTGACTGTCATTTATTTTTCACCACACAAAATGGACGGTGCATTATCAAGCACAGAATCAGTTGCCGTCATTTTGCTGTCAGTTTGTTACGGAGTACAAAATTCACAACTCTGCAACGTAATTATAGCCGTAGGGCAACTTTCAATAATTGCAGTTTTAACTCTGCATGATTGCCTGGCATCATGCCACCTGATAACATTTTGCGCGGTTCGATAAGTCTATACATCTTGCATTCTCAATACCTAAAAACGCACAGGAGGTCAATTCAGTAAGTCAAATTCAAAGTATTTACGCAGATCAGATACATGCGCTCGTCTGCCTCCCTCACATATATCAGTAAAAGTTTATTTTCATTCAATTTCACAGATAGCTACTTAAGATTCTGTTCGCCATCCCGTCTGCTCGAATATCTAACAGTTTATAGCACATGATTATAAACATCCATTCAATAAGTTCACTGTTAATCATGTTGATTCAAATAGACATAGATTATGAAAGTACGATATTAGTTTTCGCGAAGTAATCCCAATATTTGACCGAAACCTCGGTCCACGAAAAAATCCAAACAATGCCTATAAATACCAACTAAGGCAGCGGAAATCCGCTCTAGGGTCGGAACAGCTGTCATGTTCATTTTTATACGTAAAGGTAAACCACACCACCGCCACGCCGCCGCCACGTCGCTCCCCGCTCGACATTGGAATAACGGAACACTTGATGAGAACTGAAGAGGCAGCTCATCGCGACACATGTTACTTTGAGCTTCGGCTTAATTGTATATTTGCTTTCATCATTTCTCCTACATAACTATTTACTGGAAAAATAACGACGTTGACGTTTTAAAAGTGCTTAATTAAGGAATAATTGAAATAAATGCTTCGACTTTGAATGAAACTCATTCTAAACATGTATTATTAAGAAAAAGAGAAGAGATTACCAAATTAGATGTTGAAGTCTGTGCAACGACTTGCTGCATCTAGTTATATTTGGGTTAAAGTAATTCTAATTACTGTCGAAGTGAATGCGTTGACGTTACGTAGTCACGTTGTAGCTAGAGTTTGCAAACAGACAGGTTGAGTCCGGACTTTGTTGTAATATATTTTGTAATTATGTAATAATAGAGTGTTTTATACACGCTGCTTTGTATCTACGACTTGACCGACCGACCGCCATTCCATGATGTCGCTGGTTTCAACGGGGTTATGGTACAGTCGATACTATATCACTAGACCCTTATTTTTGTTAATTAATACATCGTCATAAGGTCGTCGTAATTTACTTGTTATGTAAAATTGCTGCATGTATCTCTTGACGTTGCAATTTATTAAAAGATATTATCGTTGAAGAGTCGATCTTGAGTTAAAAATATCCGTTTCCATTTCGTAATACTGGACTTAGTGCCGGATCGCTGAGGATCTTTATGGATATGAAACGTTCGTAATGAGATCCACGTCGAAGGAACACTCCGGACCGCTTTGCATAATATAGATTCCTCAGGAAAATACGGGACTCGAGAGCCAGTTGTTTACCAAGTCCGCCATCCGCATATCCTACCAAACAAATGTAATTATGTTTAAATTATAATACATTTACCTACTGTTCCACATTTCATTCATATTTGTTTTAGTATCTTAATATTTCTTTTAAGTATTACAATTCAGTTATAGTTAATTGATCCAGATATGTATTACGTTTAGATTGCCCAATTGAATATTATTAGATACCTATTTAAGTATCATTTACGTTGTAATAGATTCTATCTCGATACTCATTACTTGTCATGGCATGATCCTGATCCCAGAAATATGGATTTTTTTCAGTTTCATACTATATATTACGAATGTACGCACGTATATGTTCTAAAAGGCGTTTATTTTCGACCGATAGCACTCGTTAACCACTTACGATTTTACGACGTAATCAATATTAATATAGTGCCAATAAAGTTAACAGAATCTTCAGAGGTATTAAAGTCTAAGGGAATAACATAATGCCTCGACACGGTGGGTAGTAAATATTGTACCTTTCGAATGTATTGTAAGAATACTTTGTAATTGCCAAACGTTTCTATTGTACTTATTTTTGCAAAAGTTTGTGAAATAGATTATTATTTAACTTTATCCTTAAGCGTCGGCCGCACCATAACGACGGTTTTTAATAGCATAATTATTTGAACCAAAAAACCGAATACAAGCGGTCGCACTTGCAGATTTGTTTTTCATTGAATACAATTTAACCAGTGCAGCTGGGACCTTATTTTTTGAAAAAGTTTAAATATGATGTTTGCTAGTTATTTAATAACCATAGAAAACCGCTGTCACCATCGCCTATGTTAGTCATCATCAGTGCCTAGAGTACTTAGCATGCAAATAAATCTTTCTATTAAATTTTTAGGGTAACTTCTCATCACGGACCACATGGGTACCAATCGGAATTTATGTTTTATTGACGTTTTGTTTCCTTGGTTAAAGAAACCAATAATACCTAATGAGAATTTCTTTTCACAGAACTGCCGCAAGCGGAGGAGGCGCGGCAGGCAGTAATTAAGGAGCTGATCTGCACAGAAGCCGATTATATCCGCCACTTACTGTCCATAGTGCAGGTACGTATTTAAGCAAATCCTTACCTAAATGTCTGGAACTAGAACATTAAACGTTTTAAAAAAACATCATATTGAGACAAGGAATCAAAACGATCTATAAAGTAAATAATGTACGAGATGAAATTAAGAGAGAAAACGAAAGAAAGAAAATTTAAATTATAATACATATTTATAAACTACAACATTCGTATACTTCGATGCCCTTCATCTACATACTTCAATAATTAATACAACATTTGAGAAAATAAGTATGAAGCAAAAAATGACATATATTAGAGGAAACTTCACACATCCCAGTTTTATATTCGGGTTGACCGCAAATACTCCGGGGTGAAGTAACATACTGTTTGTCGCCGCAGACTGCGCTCTAAACATACCAAGAGCTTACAGAGCATACATTGCTCTCTACATTGAACATTGTTAAATTCAAATAATCTGTATTGTAACAATGTTGTCAACACAAGTCGGATTAGAGACAGCGAACCGAGAGAATGATACGAGTACTTTACTTACGCATCAATGTTGACTTTTCCATGATGAAATTCGGTATCATATTTTTTCAGTACATTTGGCAGATCTCAAATTGATACCAAGTTACTGGATGTTTTCCAATTAAAATTTGACGTGAAGAGCGAAGTTTTTGTTTCGTTTGCGATATGACCGCGAAATATTGAAACAACTCTTCAACGAATTAATTATGTTTACGGCTTACTCATGTAACTGTTTGAGGCGGAACTCGACTAGTTGCAAGCCATGCTAGAGGTACATATTCATGAGCACTACAAGCAGCGACACGCGACGCGGCGACTGCCGCGCTGCAACTTTTGAACAAATTGCAATGCCTATATAAACCATAAGTTTTAGGGTGCTGGTATCTTCAGAGGACCCGGTGCCCCCTTACAGGTGCTGAGGGTGGCCACCGGGGTGGTTTTAGTGAGGTAAGAATCCCACACTCCCTAGTCTTTCTCCCCAAAAAGCTAGGTGCCTTTTGAAGGTTTCCCCCCGACATCAAAAAAAATAAAAAATGTTAGACTATTTAGTCAGTTATCACAGAACAAGTGAAGCAGAAAGGTGAAAAAGAAAATCAAAAACTGATGTCAGCTGATAATTATATAAAATCATTAAAAAATTATAACTCGAAAACTACGCAAAATCGTAGAATTGGGTTAGAAATAAATGGGGTTGATTTGGATACCTCTCATCATAAAGTATCTAAATTTTACATTCGTACATCAACTAAACGGCTATCCGGTATAGACAACTAGTGTTACCCACACTGGCATCTGGTAAATTCTGTTTCAATTGAATGCACCCAGACAAGAAGATAAGCCATTGACATTTTTATTTTCATTTTTTTTTTAATTCGGCATCAAACTTCATATTTTTCTAGGAAGCTAAACAAAGGTTTTAGATACAACACTAAATATCTGGCTTGATACCGCCACAGGATAAATAAAACATTGAAATATTCTTGTACCTGCCCACACCAGGAAAAGCCTTTCAGAGAGAAATCTCATAACAAAGTTGAAATTGTTTATGTGAATTACAAAGTATGAAGTGTTTACAGCGTGAAACATGTGTGCACACAGAGGTACATGGCCGAGGCTACCCTTGTGTAACGTATCTACTCCGCAAAGTACGTGATATTGGTTTACATAAACGTAGCGACCTCACATGACTGATAAAATTACACAGTTTGTTTTACGAACGAGAACGTAATTTAAATCCCCGAAGGATTACCGACGAATGTACCCAAACATAATATAAAAAATAAACATTTATGCGGTATTACGAAGATTGAATTTCAAGTAAACTTCTCAATTCGGTGAACACCTAGAGTAGCTAATAAATACAACATGCCGGATATGTTGTTGATGCATGTTGTAATATTTAATTAACTACAAAAAGGTGTGTCCAATACTGAAACTCACTTTGTTCCTACACCTGTCGGACAACGTCGTCGTGGGTTTCCAATCTTTAACTGATCTCTGCCTCCTTTGCATAAATAATTTGCGCGCCTCCATTAATAGCCACAGCTAATATTGTAACTTTATACAAATTTAATTAAATTTTTAATCCGAAGATAAGGAAGGAATTAGCGGTTATTCTGACTGATCCTTCTAGTGATCCATTTCCTACTTGGAAGTGGTAGTATCTTCATCAGATTTATTATTATTATAGACGTGTGCATAAGATGCTCTAACCTTCTACACACTAAACTTACGAATATCTGATACGTGTGATAGATGACTATCATGAATGTTGTATATTATCGACTGAATCCAGCTTCACGCGATCACCAAGATGGAGAAGAAATCTGACCTTAGACATCTATGGACTTGACCATGTAGGAGAGTTTAATGTAAAGCTGTCAAAACTGTCATTAAAACTCTTTTTTAATTAAAGTGTTGTTACATGGTGAGCAAGGTTACAAAAAATTTGCTAACACACAACACGCACCCATGTGTTGTAAGCCTACGCAAATCCCATGCTTTGTGTAGCTTACGGGTCTTGTCGATATAATATTATAACATGAAACTTTTATTCCATGTAGAATACTGCTCGCAGCTTCGTAAAATAATAAAATCAAATTAGCGTTTCCGATGCTTACTGGCTTCATACAAACTGTGGAATCTTAAGATAGGCAATTATAATAGTATAGGTTCTTATTACAGAAAACTTACATAAAGAACCTCCCAATTATGAGACGTTAAGTTTTTTCAACTACTAACTTGATATTATGTACATAATAAGTGCATTAATTAATTAGCTGCGAGCTTCGTATGAAGTCTAGCGTAAATATTAAAGTTGATATGTGCATGTTGCCCTTTACTAATTCAGAACTTGATATTTATCGTCAAGCACGATTGCTAAGAAATCGATGGCCGTCGTCGTGTCGGTCACTTCCCTAAATTCCCGTGCCCTTCACAAGTACCGATAAAGGACAAGGGCCGCGGCAGGGCACGATGGTATAATGACGTATTTGACTTTTCGGGAGACCTATCTACTGCTATTTACTTTGCTGTTCAGCCAAATATTACAATATTATCTAATATGTTTTCAGAGATAGAGTTCATTAGTACGACACATAGTTTTTTCTCATAAAAATAAGACGCTATAACTATTTGTATAACATCATTTTCACTCAAAATACACTAAAAAATACCAATACTAAAACAAGCACCGTAAACTATGTATTGGACGAATGGGCAGCCTACTGCCGGATTAATAGCACGGCCTTACGGAAAACCGACGTGAAGCAATGCTTGCGTCGTGTTTCGCCGTGTGACAAGAGGTTACCATAGGAAGAATTAATTTCTTCTGTAATCTCCTCATTCCCCAAATCCTCTATCCTCAAATCCTTATCCTCCCAAAAAGCCAGCAACGCATTTATAACACCTCTGGTGTTGCGGGTGTATTTGCGGCAGTGATTGCTTACCATCAGACCACGTTACATAAAAACAAAACGTACAAACGGGTCGCATTTAACCACATAATATCGCGAGCCTTCGCCCAAAAAATAATAGAATTTCCAATCCAAAATTGAAGCTTAACGGACGGAATCGGCGATCCCTATCATGAGGTAGGATTAGTCCGCTGTGGTAATAGACTGCGTGCTTGCTAAAGACATTATGAGATATTGGACGATCCTGGAACGTAATGTAATACAGGTAAGATTAGGAATTCAGTATTGTTGCTCCAACTCAATCACATTCATCTTTTAACGAAGAAATCCGTTCCGCTGTTGTGTAGCGCCCCGTGTAATAGAGATGCCAGTATTGTGTTGTGTCTACCCTTCCGTGTATGTTGTTTGTTTTAGACAGATTTACATTAAACTCTATAATTTCTGCATTTACTATTATTATCCAGAAGTTTCTCTTCATACCCTATTATAGGTAGGCAGTAAGCGGGATACGGTGTGAAGGGTGTCCTTGTAACATTATAAACTGACATATTGCTTGAAAATAACGACGTCTAGGAATAGCACTTAATAAATAAGCACATAGGACTAGTATCAGCAACAAACAAGACAAAGCTGAAAGACAAAATTTAATAATTGATGTGTATTACCCAATACATATATATAATTAAGTATGTAGGTAACATTCAAGTACTGTGTTTAAATGACTTCCATAAGCTAAAACTTAACTTTATACTACCTATTTATAAAACTGTAACTTTCCTTTAACAATTTCAAAAGTAATTGGAATGCAGGTACATTTTACATAATTTGATAGTATTGCCTAAAGTACAATCTAATTAGTGAACATAACTTCATGCTAAGTACTTTTAATCGCTAGAAACTAATTAAGGTCAGGAAAATGTAAGCTTTGAATTTGGTATCGTGAGAATGTCGCTTAACTTCACTTAATCCGAATAAATGCCGGAGCCCACTTCACAGAAGTCATTAAGGGCTATCAAATGATTATAATGGGCCTTTTGTTACTGATTTTAATCATTGTGTGCTGTTTCAATGATACGGTTTTATGTGTGCAGACCCGCCAGTCATTTGTGCTATGTTCTAATATTCTACAGACAGTGTAATCGTCTGAATTTGTGACTTTGAAAGGCATTAAAATTTCTCTGTATTTGTTAGATTGAAGACTCGACTATTAAATATAGGTACGGTCTAGATACAAAGGCTACGCGATTAAAGGAATAAATAGGCTCCTCAGAAGTTTGCCAACAAACTACATCCCATCATATCATATTATTTTATATCTTTAAAACTCAATCGTTGGAGGAATTGTCATATAAAGACATTAATTTACCGCTAATATTTTTGATTCTGTTTTTATAATAACAGTCGTGCGACATACTAAATTAACGGTCGCGGTGATGTCGCGTTCGCTGCTCATGAGGATGAACCCCTCTGTGGTTCGAAACTAGTAAAGCTTTTCTCAGTATATTTACGTGAGTAACCCGCGATTTTAGTTAATTTTTGATTCTGTGGTGCAACAAAATTGCAGGAACAACGAGGTCACCTATTTATTAGATGTTAAAACGACTGCTTACCGGGTATACTTTAAAATTGTACTCCAACATAATTACACAATACAGGGTTGTTGTGCACTAGGTGTTCATAGCCGCCGCCCATGGACTGCAAGATGCGGGGAAACTACTGGATATCGATACCGAAAAACTTTTTACCAATATTCCCGATGTCCTGAATGCAAGCCTTTACTTCTGGGAGACCACCATCTACCCCATGATCGCTGATGCTCACGAGAAGAAGGCTCCGTAAGTAGTATATTTATTGCATTATATAAAAATAGTAAGTGGTGTCATACTTGAAGATATCGTCGTCACCTAACAAAACTTCTCGATTATATCTTCGAAATAGTATTGTGTCTAAAATTTTTTGGTTTGAGTATTTCAATAGAAATAATTCTTTTGCATAGAAGTTGCTCGTAACAGAACTAGAGGAACTGTGATGCAACATTTTATTTTAATATTTTGCGATACACCCCTGTTTACTCTTTCGAGGATGGAATAGGAAGGACATTATATTTACATAAATCAATGACACGTGTTGCCTTAATTCCGTTGTTGACCGCGCAAAAAGTCAGGTGAGCAAAAACCGTAAGCAAGCGGCATGATCAAACAAAAAAGAATTAAACTCCACTTTTAAATAACAACAAAAAGAAATAGCCGTCTTTGTCCAGAGACCTCATCAATCTTGCAATATGTTCTCATGATGACCCTTGTCTTGTCAACAATAAAGGAGAATGAAATTGAAAAGCTCTGGGTACTTTTTAATTACGCTGTGGCAAGTTATAAGATTGAGTTTTTTCTACAGATTCAACACAGAAATCATGGCGCCAGGGTTCATGCATTTTCGCGACATGTTCCAGCCATATGAAAAATATGTTAATGAACAAACAAAAGCACTGGATTACCTCCGGTCCTTATCAAACAACGCAGACTTCATGTGTTATCTCACATGGTGTTACCGGCAGAAGGCCTGTAATAGGTAAGTGCATAGGTACTTGTACTTAGTAAGCTAATGATATCTTTTTATATTGCCTAAGAGACCCCATATGATGACCAAAGTCAGCATAGTTAGAATGTGTTTTGGTTGCAGGCTCCAGCTGGCTGACATCATGGTGAAACCGATGCAGCGCCTGACTAAGTACAGTCTGCTCCTGCGTCGACTGATTGCACACACCGACATTGAGCCTGAACGCACTTCTCTACAAGCCATGGTATGTATGCGCTGACTCTGTTGTTGTGCTCGAATGTTGAGTGCTGAATTTTATTATAACGTAAAAAAGCCTTGCAGGGTCCGGGTAACTAGAACATAATTAATTTTGTTTTATGAACAGTGGGTATTCACTGGGAAACTATTCGGACTAGTGGAATTCCCGAGTCGGTAGTGTATGCTCGACTTAATTTCATATTTTTTGTTCGCCCTTTCTGGCCATACAGGCGCTTTTAATTTGGTTTGGTTGACTGCAGTAATACTTGTCAAACTATATTCATAATCATAAATATTTTACGTTATGTATTCTTTACGTTCGCTGTATTTTTACTTCTGGATTACTTTATGCGTTCTTGTACACAGGAAACTTGTGCTAAGAATTATGTCCAAGATCTGAACCGATCTATACGCCAACGAGAAGAGTTAGAAAAGATGGATAAATTAGCTAATTCGATAGAAGCGTACGAGGTGGTAAGTGAATTATAGAATATTTTAAACTTCCTTTCATAATCTGTCGTTTATTCATACAATCTAAATACAAATAAATACAAGTAAGTTAAGAAAGAAAATTAAAATGTCGCAAATTAAAAGTAAATTAACCTCATCTCTACGATACTCCACATACACACACACACAAACACACGAGTTTCCCAAAAACTAAGTTTTGTTATTGAGAATTTCGCAAATATGTACCGTACATGCACAATATTAGGAAAGTGCGAATACTTTAAGATAATATATTTAATAACCCTACCTAAAAGATGTAGCCATATTGTATCAAAATATGAAAGAATCTGCACTTAAAAGTTATTTCGGTAATGTAATGGTAATGCTGCAAAGTCGAGTAATAATTATTATTATTAGAAAATATATTATTTCTATACAAATTCAAACAATATTTAACTACGTGTTAACTTTTTATATCGGTGCAGAAACTTACTCAAGTATCTTTAATAGAATCACTCATAATTCACACAAATTAAAAATGTGATTCACAAATTATACTTTGTAATGCACACTAACACAAAGTCAATAGAAGCAGAATCTCAATCTGCTTGAGATTAAGGTTTTCGTTTCTAATCAAACATCACTAAAAAGAGGAGAAGAGAGGAATCTGAAAGATGGAAGTGAAACGATAAAGGTATTTCTCATCCACAGGCAAAGTAATGATATTAAATATTGACTTCAGGGAAAACCGATTTTAGAAAACCTACATACATAGATAACTTAAAAAAATGTATCGTTAATAAAATGTACCTAAACCAATATAATTTATTACAAACATTTTGATTATAAAGACAATGTTATTTTATAAAGCAAGTCCTCTCAAAATACGCACCAATTTAATTTATATTTCAGGGAAATATTATAGGTATATTATGGACTTGAATAACAACATTATAAAAGCGCGATGATTTCAATACGAAATGTTCATGACTAAGATGGTTACTCGAAACACATTAATTGACTTAATATCGACAAAAAGAAAAGTCGTTACACGCACTTGTTTTCTTGGAATAATCAGTGTTTTTGTATTACAGTACACACCAACGTTTTCAGTTTACAAAACCCTTTCAGTCTGTGGCACCTGTCTGAAATTTACTTTTTTTTAATCATTGTATTCGGTTGTACAACTAACTCTTAACTTTAAACAAATGCATATACAATACATATATACCTAAGTACAAAACACACACATCGACAACCTATAAGGGACCACTGCTGACCAAAGGCCTCTCCTCATACGGAAAAGGTTTGAGCATTAATCACCACCTCTATGTGGGTTGAAGATTTTAAACTTATAGGTAACTAGCGACCCGCCCCGGCTTCGCACGGGTGCAATATGCATGTTTTATACATACAAACCTTCCTTAAGAATCACTCTATCTATTAAAAAAAACCGCATCAAAATCCGTTGCGTAGTTTTAAAGATCTAAGCATACATACGGACATACAGCGAAAGCGACTTTGTTTTATACTATGTATTGATTAGAAATTATAAGCCGAGGTTTCCTCACGATATTTTTCTTCGCCGTTTGTCAGTGGTATCTAAATAATTTTAGAAGGACATATAACTTGAAAAGGACACATTGGTACTTGCCGAGCATTTCTTTCTTATGCATTAGGGTGAGGCTTCGAACCCGCACCCTCATGTATGAGAAGCGGGCGGCTCAAGCCTCCGGGTCACCACGACATTGTTGTTGTTGACACAACAAATACGTTCTACATATTACAAAACCAGATACTTAGAACTACAATTAGCTACCTATCTATACTATTTTGTGCCCTTACGTCGACTATGCCTTTGGTTAAAGTAAACTAAATCTTAATTCTAAAATGTTGTGGCTTATAATCAACTTTCAAAATTACTAGGTACTTATCAAAATATCAATGTTTGCGTGGTTCAAAATAATAACGATTTAAAGGCAAAACTAACATTTAAAATACACTTGTAATTATTCCTAAAAACAGATCGTCTTCATATAAGGCGAAACTTACCTACAATACCTTTTCTATATTTATTACGAAGAAGAATAATTTTAAATTATTTGTTTGGAACTTGAGACGCACGATATTTTGACGTTCATATTTTTAGAACAAAAGTCGAGCTCGGAGAGCACCTGTTCATTGCTACGTAGCTACTTCTATAAAGTTATCCTGGTAGTCGTAAACTGTTCCTTGCATAGGTCAGGTGTTTGTATCACATTTATATCACTAATTGCATCACAGCAACGCTAAGCTCACATCATATCCACAATCTCGCTCGTTTCATAATATTATCATATTCTTTGTGAGATGTGATTTTCAGTATCACTTAAAATTAAAACTAATTAAAAAAAATACAGTTTCATTTTCAGTGATCTACTACGACTTAATCACTTGGTAAACTTACAATCGTGTTAATTATTTTTATTGAAATTCTAAAACCACGTGATATTTTTTTGCAAACAAAAACGTTTACTTAATCTCGTAAGATATTAACATTATCCCAATATACCTTAAAATACCTTACCTACTTACCTAACAAGCTACTCCCGCGCAGTTCACCCGCTCTGCTCGGGTCCAATGGAGGTTCCCGTTTATACTCACCAGAGCCATCTGTGCCAACAAATATTGAATAAAGTTTTTTGACTAATCACAGCAGCTGTCAAATATAAAACGTCCAATGGTGTAACACTAGCTCAATTCGTATAGGACGAATAACAAGAGCTTCATATTAGCGCCATCTGGTGAGCACGAATACGGTAGACCCCATTGTTCTAACGTCAAATTCGACTTCAACTTCTTGTTTTTAATTAATTTAATAATAACGTCGGTTATTACTCTAAAACTTGTTGCCTAAATACTTTTGCTTTGGATACTGCTGCTGCTACATACTTTTCTAGTAGCCACATCACAATCGGTTCACCCAATTGCGAGATATTCACCGACATACATACATATACAAGGTGTAGTTTTGAAACTGTTTCATTTCCCGGGGGCATGTCACAGAAGTCACAGTCACAGGTTCAATGTAAGAGAAAGTTTCGGGCCAATACTTAAAACTACGGCTATAATAAATCGTTTAAGTTCGACAGTATTTCAGAATAAGCGACAGCAATGTTCCTTATTGGAGTTTTATGGAATTAGGAATAATATCAATTACGTGTTTGAGTTTGTGTGTGTAAAGCCGCGTTATAAAACTAGTTACAAGACGGCAGCGTGTAGCTTGCACTTACGGATTTCCGTAATTTACAGAAAAATGAAAAATATTTACCTACAATTTTTTTTATTGATTCGGACTCAGAATCGATAGCTAAGTTACCTCCTAGAAAATGACGTGGCTTAAAAACAACACCTTGTATACATACATACATACATACAGTACAAACTAAGAAACTCCTTCTTTTTTTACATCGATTAAAAATAATTATTCAATTCGAACTAGAACTAAGAACTTACCGCCTACAGCTGTCTCCGAGTTTTCAGAGTATCATTATAATACATTATATTTCTTTTTCAGGACTTTAAAGATGAAGAATTAGACAAATTCTTTCATCTATATTCACAACTAAATCTTAGAGCACCAATGGTAAACTGCTCGCCACATCATAGCAGGACATTAATACATCAGGGGGACTTACGCTTTAAGGACAACATCAAGGAGGCAAGAGATGCACATTTTGATATTATTTTTATAAGTGATATCTCCAACTAAGTTCGTAACTAATACATAAAATAAGAAAATCTATGAGTTCACTTGATCCGTCCTTTCAAAAAATCAGAGGTCACTTGTAAAACGAATATCTACTTCTTCTTTCGCTTGCGTAGTTTTCGGATGCATCCGTAGTCCGGTAACAGCGATGGGTGTTGTTTGGTAGAACAATACTTACCAAATATAAAACATCAAAAACTATTGCTGTTACTACCTGTTTAAAGATGTTAGGTACACAATTAAAGTTATATATTATGCATTACGCTTTTCTGGCGAATTATTTTATTGTAGGTATTATGCGAATGCTATAATTTTTCGGTTAATACTTCTATTGATGGTCCAATAGTTTTGCAACCACTGAGTGTGATATCACAGCATTTTATTCAATAAAGTAACCGTCCATGAGGGGCTACACCATCCGGCCATCCGGACTGTGTGTAGACGTTTACAATTTAATTATATTACTATTTATAAATAAAGAAGGCAAGTGTGTCGCTGCCGACCCACGGCATGCAAACCTTTGAGTTCCAGTCTACCAAATGACCTGTAATGTAATAGCTGTGGTGTCACACACGACACTTATGTTCCTTACAAGAATAGCTTTGTTAACAGATGGAAGTTCGCGTATTTCTCCTTACTGATATGCTGCTTATTTGCAAAAAACAGTCAAAGGGCAGCTTGTATCCGTACAAAATGGTGAGGTAAATATTATTCAATTATTCTGTCTATCGCCTTCGAATGTTAAGAATATTTTGCACTGCGAATTATATGCTCGTTATTTACTTTTACAGACCAAAATATTTTCTCGAAAGACTTTTTACATACCCAAAAATAAGTCAACGCAATCCTAAAGAGATTGCGAACTTAGTGTTCGTTGCAGTCGATGAAGTTGGGTCATCACTCGTAGCTTTCAGTCTATCTGAATCGTCAAAGGATCCCAGCGCACAAGGGACACTAAAGGTCAGATCTCATGCCATTTTTGAACTCGTCTAATTATGAAAAGATGATTAAACATTTGAATCTCAAATTTTAGAATTGGGAACAAAAAATACGCGAAGCTAGGCTAACATACGACCTAGCAGTGTGGTTCACAAGGAACCCATCGCGAGACCTCACTGAAATGGATGTTGATTCATCCTCTGACTATGGCCTCAGCATACCGAGCGCGTCAAGGCCAGTAAGTATGAACATTTACAAATAAAAACTATAAAGCCATACTGTACACATAATATTATTAAGTGGAAAGTGTACGTGCCTGTTTGTTTTTGTTGCTATTTGTCAATTTTCAAGGGGAAAAGTTTGTATAAGGACTATTTGTGAGAAACAAGAAATTCGTGCATAATTTTATTGTAAATCTGCCGCCCACTGAACTTTAGCAGTTTTTAAAATAGGAGACATTGCAAAAAATCTGCTCTTTGCTACCCCCAATTTCATGTGAGCGAAGCCATGGATACAGTTTTTGTTTAATGTTTTATTTTAGGGCGCAAAACAAAGCTCGGATGAATTAAACATTGACAGAGAAGCCAGAGAACGCGTCGCCGCGATGCTCCACCGTAGCCTGGGAGTGTCGACTGAGTGCGATAACTTCTCTCAGGCGTCGATGAATACAGATTCATTCGACGGTAAGGTTTCAACTACGTATTTCATCTTAAATCTTACTTGAAGATATGTCTTAAGTATTGTGAAGATTATCTACTTGCTCAGCACAAGCGGAAAAGCAATTGTTAATGTATTTATGTATTAGGTATATACATTTAATTAATGAATACAGGAGAGTTGTCGACCAGTCACGGAGGACGATATTCACACGGCCTGAGATACCCCATGAAGCGAAACTCGACAGGAGGAAGTTCAAGAAATTCTAGATTATCGAGTTTCCATCAATCGACCAGGTAAGTGTTTACAATATATAGAACGAAAGGTTCACTTCTGTACATTGACAGTTGGCACTCATGGACTTATCACTCAAAACTGAACCACAAAGTTACGTACATTATTGTCAATAAATATAGATATTGAATATATTAAGGCCGCAGGGAACCGCTGTAGGCAGGTCGCTGCCGACCGGCCTACCTGGAAGTCATTGGGGGAGGCCTATGTTCAGCAGTGACGTCCTGTGGCTGATATAATGACGATGATGATAGATATTGCTAATCTAACCAACTGATCATACAAATAATGAACGTTCGGTGCGACTGTGTTACTTCTACAGTTTAAATATATGTAGAAGTAAAAAATGAAGGATACGTAAGGAAAAATGGACGTTAAAGTACAGATACCATATTACCTACTTATCCTTTTTTATAGTAATACTTTAATAAACTACTGACGATAGTCAAAAAGTAATATGATACTAGAGTAAATTGATAAATGAAAATGTAAAAGATAGGAACAAATATTACGCTACTGAGAACTAAGTTATACACGTTATGTATGTTTGTTGAAGTCGATGTTCGAAAGTAGTTAGGCAAGATTAACTGGTTTAATTGCGAATCGCAGTGCTGCATCCCATGACGAGCCGCAGCCTGGCCCCAGCCGATACAGGGCAGGGACTTCTGTTGAACATGTCATTCCCCCACAGAACCCTGAGGACGGTAAGTTATTGCCACTATAACAAACATATTTTACTTTCTTACAGATTGCCTTCTTACAAAACAAATGAATACTCATCAGAATAAAAACAAACACAGCAATCATTTTACATCTTGACAAAACAATGTCATGCAAAGTTATATTGTCGAGATATGACTGCATGGTTACATTTTTACAATGTATTTATGTTTGTTGGATATATATCTCGAAAATCGAACGAACTAAATTGTAGTAAAAAACACATAAATGACCTGACATTCATATAATAATCATGACTGTACATTATTTTATTGACATACCTACGACTGCCCAAGTATTCTGATAAAACATAATTTTCGTAAGTCTCCATCACCTTAATGCTGGTAGAATATATTTCCAACTCACTGTGTTACCTACCGCCCCTGAATAAGTAATAAGAGCTATATTTAAGTAGTTATATCATAACTCCATCATATACACATAAGTATAGGTCCTCATTAACGGCACAGGTTTATTTCGGGCGCCATTATTAAAGTTTGGCGGGATTTTTGGCAAGTGGGTTTTTGTTTCACAATAGATACATTGTCGGCGATACACAATAGCCGTTTAGATATGGGGTAAAGGTCACTCGGACAATGTCGATTGATACTACTTTCCCCACCTTTCTAATGTAGGTACCGTCGCTAAACAGTCTACGAAACAATTTCACAGAGGAACAACAAAATATTTTATCATATTGAAATGTTTAGTTCAAACTGTTTGTGGTCGCATTGAAATTTCTAATATGTTTTCTACAGGAGTAACATCAATAACGGTCAATGTAGTCAGCGAGAGCGAGTCAGAAACAGTAGTGCACTCACAACCGCCACCACCGGTAAGTTACATATACATAATTTGTGACTAGATGTGGTAGGGACCTACAACACAAAATTGTTCATAAGTGGTCCGTGCCTGCCAAACGATAGCCGCTACCACAAATGGACTAATAATCATAGGCATTATCGACGAACAGTTCTGATTTGATGTCTGCTTGAATAACAAGTTAGCAAGTAGTTCGACGTTAATGTTATTTGCGATATCTCTAGTATTGCTAGTATTGCAAGTTCACTTCAACTGTGGTGACAGCTTACCATGAGGCTAACTGTAAACGTCGCTGCTACTGACTGATAGTCAGATTATTCAGTAGTGTAAAGAAAGAAAAATTATTTTAATGGTACCTCAACACACAATAATTGGCACGTCAATGTGTAGGTTCGCCATCCCTGATGTAGACACTATTAACACACTGTTAATGGATATTAATTCATCTTGCGCAGGGATTCCCGTAATGTATGGATCTAGCAATCTTATATCTACGCATATCTGAAACACGTTTACGGTGCGACATCTAAAATTTTCAAAATTCTTAGCAACAAAAATAAATTTGATTAAAGTAAACACTTTCCGATATCAACAAATAAAATAAAATGTTGCCTATATAGATGACAGACAACTTGTGAAATTTTATTATGTATAAAACATGGCATAAATGCTACAATTTTGAGACACTATATGAATTTGACTTGAAGAAAAAGGCAATAAATTGAAACATTTCTCCGCGGTCCTATGGTATTCTATTTAGTACTAAAATATACATGTAATGCAGAGCAGCATGCTTAACCTGTTGAAAATCATCCCCTAAATATCTTCATACAAAAGTAGTCTCTAAACATCGGGAATAAGGTCTATAATAAGTGGAGAGCGGTCATCGGTGACCGCTTAGGGATTACAATACAAAGAACAAACACCACTTGAAATGAGTGACGATGAGAGATGAGCAATAGTCACATCTATTTACCATATAGTTGAAGTACCTACGTGCTTCTAAATTGTAAATAGTTAGATTATGTAATAAGACTACGAAACAATAGATAGTCCAAAAACTAAGCGGATACCATCACTCCGTCTCGTCGTAGGCAATGTTTTCCAAAACGTGATCTCCACTTCACAACACGTCACCCTATTTGTCAATACACAAACAATATAATTATGTTTTGGTTTAAACAGTTAGTAGTGCTACAACATAGCTCCCCACACAAGACGCCGATTCCATCGCGTAGTTCGAGCACCAGCAGAAACACGCTGCGCGTGCAGCCGCAGAACGTGGTGATGGCACTGGTGCACAGTCTGCCAGACCTCACGTTCGATACATCGCCGCCACGTCCGCAACAAAGGTTAATCATCATCCATGTTACATCAAAAACATATTGTGTATCGATTAATAAGGTGCAGACCTACTAGCACTTCGCTACATAAACTAACTATACAAATGTTATACCGTCTAGCCCAAGTCCTCAGTCAGCATCTGAGAAGCTTTATCAATCGCACCAAGAGCTATTGCAGCGAAACCGATTGTCAGCTCAGCAACAACAGCACTACCTAAGTCCTGATCACCGCGGCACCAGCTACCCACCTCCTAGTCCGACGAGGTATATCACTTTAATTAGCAACCATACAAGTAATATTAACGTTTTATAATTACAGATTTAAGTTATAGACCTAAATTATAATTAAGTTACTTATAATTAAGTGTTAAGTCTTTATTGTTACACATTTTTTCAGATTTATTACGAGATAGTTAAGTTAGGTAGGCTTCCAGTGGTGTGAGCGGGGAGAGTCCGGTACCACGCGGTGATGCCGAACATCCACTTGTTACACTGCGTGGTTATAGGGTTGCGTTGTAGTTTACCCCATAGAAGCCTACGTCGTAGCACAGTATCCCAGGTGCTCCGGCTTAGGCTTACCGGGCTCCAAGTCGTCGGAGGTGCTTCGTGTCATTTTTACAGAATTTGTTTCAGATTTGACGCTTTCTCAAGACAGAAGAGGATGCCGCAATGAGTTTCTCACAATAAAAACATATAGTGGTGGCCATTCAGAATTATGTATAAAGGACCGTAGGCTGATCAATATTGAAGTATTACGTTAAAATACTCATGTATAACCGTTGTAAATTGTTGAATTGAAGTTTTGAAAATAACAAATCATGTCTGGAACATTTTGTGCCTTGAACGTCACGATATTGTTGATTTGATGATCCAATTATAAATTAGGTTACTGTAACGAAAGAAGTACCTAATGGAGGTTAATTTTTATAATAAATGCACTAGAAACGTTGTAGAGGGTAAAATACCTAGGTACTTGAAGATCCTTTAAAAAGAAAACCACACGTTTTTGACATATCTTCGTGTTTCATTAGTAAAAATGAAATTAAATTATTGATTAGACACATTCTATTCAGAACAGCCACAATGTCCTTTATATTTTGGTCAATGATTGGTAACATCCAGGTGTGCCAGTAAGTTAGTCCACCCGTAAGGTTTGAATGTTACACAAAAACACAGTTTTATTATTACTGATAACTATAATCTAATTGTTAGTATTAGATCGGTGTTTTATGTTTTAAATTGTAACCAACATGTTGTAAAATGAGAGCATTTTGTTGATGCCTTCATATAGTAAGGCTGATTGGCATTATGTTCGCATTCCTGAGACGAAATGTTATCGTAAGTTTAGTAGGGTCTGTTTGGAAAGGCGAGCCTTCAGAGATACCACATATATCGCTCATAGGCAACTTGGTCACCGTCTCCTCAACCTCACCATCTTCCTGGTGATCAAAGTGTCTGTCGCTGGAATACTCAACTGCTCCTCCACTCTTAGAGAGCTCAAAATATTTGAATGACTCGCATTAACCTAAACAAAAACCTAACCTAAGCGACAGATGGTGCTTGAGTATTCTGAGCTAAGACTGATATATATATATTAAGACGGTACGGCTATAGGGCGGTGTTGATGGGATTTAAATGAAAAACTTTACACATTAATATTTCCATTCCACCCTGGCCTGCTTCTTCATCTCTGACGGTACACCTACAATATAAATTGTTATACTTTCTACCACGTCTTCAAAAACACATTAGGTACAGATTCTCTCTTTAGCTCCCATTGCGAGATTTAAGACGTAAGAAAAGCACCCATGTCTATATGCACAGACTGCACATACATATTATACTTTTACATACACACTGAAATAGTGATCTATATTTAAAAATATATTAAAACCACAAAGGTACAAGACAAGAACATTATTAGATTTTTACAGATTTTGAGCTTTTATACACCTACCGACATGTTTCTAATCTATATACATACATAATGGTATTTTACTAAACCAAAATATTTTTGAATAACGAAAAAACATTTTTTTACGTTTAAGAGATCATTTTCTTGATCTTGATTTCATTTATTGGTAAACAGAACCTTAATGAGTAGGTATAGTTTATTCTTTTCTGGTAATTAACCAACTTCAAAAAACTTCAAAAAAAAGAGGGGTTGAAGCCAATTTTTGAAACGTAGTTTATAAAAGAATACATTAATGTAAAAATCATTATATTATTTATCACATCAAAATACTAACACATATTTTGTCGACCGAGTGTGCTAGTGAGTGAAAACAAGATATACAACAACACAATCAGCAAAAATCCACGAAACTTTCTCAGTATTATCTTCTTTTCACTGGAAAAAAATTAAAAAAGTATAAAACCGTTTGGTCATTCAATTAATACAGTAGCTATAGGTCTGTCAGGTAACTCTCTGTGACTTCTGACGATATGTAATTGTACCTACGCTGCCTATTTTTGTTCTACCTTCTAAACTTTTGTTAACGATACTACTAATTATTTTTCAAATAAGATTGAATTAATTTCCAAGACACACACACGTCATTTTATCAACTTATGTCATTTTGTCATACACATTGCAAAACGGAGGGTGCACCTCCCGTGCACAGAAACACAACATCGAAATTACTCAATATTTACAATCTTACATAAGAGTAACCCGTTCCCGAAGAAACTTGCCCCAACACTGCACTTACTTTCTCTATTTATTTACTATAGGGAATTAACAGTGTACGTTACGTATCTACTGTTTTATAATTAGGCAAGTTATCAGTGATATTAAACGCTTGTAGGTAATTACAGTAAAAAGTCGGCTACACGGACACTTTATTGATATACCATTCACAAAAGAGTATATATTACTTACCTACATGCTATAAGAAAAACGCGTTAAGTTTCTATTGGTAGGTTCTTTTTCAATTTATTTTAGAGATAAAGTCATTTTAAACAACTGATTTCTATATTTATTTTTCTTATTTTTAACGAATAGTTATTCATTGACATTTAATCTCTTCGTTTTTACTGAAATAGAGGCAATAACTTAAAATTAAGATAAGTCGTTTTTGTCTTTCTACAAAATATGTTTTAGACACCACTCGCTCTTGGACGGAACAGCAGTGGTTGAAAAAAACCGCATAGTTATGTGACTAGTACTAGCAGTTTTGTTCCACGCCTCATTGAAATTTTACACGGTTAAAATCTGCAGCAGTTCCGCTGTACCGTGGCCGGGGCCTTAAAGCAAAAACTAATAGTTATCATGTCCGTATAACCAAACATCTGTACTGCAATTATCTTAATGTTTTTGTGAATGAAACTCTATGGATGGACCAATAGAATGGCATTTTTGAAAGTTATCAAGAATTGTTTATAATTTAAAAGAACTACCCGGTGGTTCAAACGAATTGAAAATGTATCACCATTCAATTTAGTTATAAGAACCAAACAGCATCATGGTATGTAAAACATCCACTAATTTTAATTGAAGCCAGTCGACATAAGTGTGGCATCAGTATCCTCCGTCAGGGTTGACATTCAAGTTAAATTAAAATGTGCTTGCTGACCCTAGTCTAAAACTGTAGTTCAGTTTAGCTCAGTACGTATGTAACGTATTTCAATAAAATAGAGTATAGGAGGTATTTATTTTAAGCTATTAATTAAATATTTTACTAAGCTTCAGCTTCTTAGACAGCAATGCTTGCCATACCAATATAGTTTAGAATAAGACGCTTTTAGTAAGGATATTTTTGAAATACATTTTAATGTCAACTTTGAAGGAATGCAACTTAACGTTATTTCAACGAAACGTCGATGCCGTCGACGCCGAAACGATTAGACAAGTTATTTAACACCAAAATATGTAGTTTATCATTCCAACAACAATATTTCACATTACATACCATAAGTTCGACGTAACTGAGTGGAAATGGGAAATCAAACATTTTAAAATAGCTGTGGCTTTTAAATGCGACGTCCATGCTCAGATGTGCGACGTGGGTAGATCTGTATCAGTGATGCGAGAGGAATGAGTCATGTAAGCGGGAATAATTAATTAATTTGTAATTAGAGACACACCTTACTTACTAGATTTGTTATTTTGTTTAACTAGCATTTAACTCGTCAAACAGATGTAATAAAACATAAATAATATTTAGATTTAGGTAATACTTATTCTCCAAGCAAAAACCCCTAACAGTCCTAACAACAAAAATAAAAATTCAACTGAACAACGATAATCTGAAAAAAGACAAATTAAAAACAAATATTTATTTTATATCTCTCATGGTCCAATCCAATTCTGAGATTAACTATCGCGCTAGGTAGGTATAGTATATCACGATGGCGATAGTAGTACCATGATGTGAACAGAACTCGAACGCGGAGATCAAGGCGGTAATGTTTTTGTCTTTGTAGTCTGATATATTTATTTATAGGTCGAAGATATAGTTAGATAATTGTTATTAACATCTCGCTCTAGTTTCATTCTACCTCGACGGTCTGGTTCCATGGTACAAGCTGTGGTACAGGTTTCATTCGAATGAATCACTCTGGGTTTTCAAACTGTCATAAATAAATATTCTTATTATTCACACACACTGGCGACCACTATATTGTATTTATTGTAATATTATGTATGTGATAGGTACTACTACTCTTAGATAATATACCTACTCTCCTTTTTCATTAGCTTCCTAGTTTAAGTCTAGCCAGGACATATCCAGTTAGTGGAGATCAGAGAAAATGTGAAGCAATAAAAAGCAAAGAATTAAAACACATAAAGATATTGTATAGCAAAAATGTGTTATAGAGCTTCATTGAAGCGCGGACTGGCGTTCTCGTATTCATTCAAGAACCCTCCATTATCCAAAATGGGGCACGTGAATAGTCAGTCCCAACACGCTGACGCTGGACCTTCCACAAGTCAAGGAACAAAGGTGACTAGAAACCATAACATTTCAATAGGTTTAGCTTACTTACGCTTTGTACAAAAACTGACGAATTTATAGAGCAATGCTATATACGTAATATAAGTAATATAAGATTTTATATATAAGTATGTGTATCCATATTATACTCATATCGTGATTGTGCCTAGTTTATTCCATCAAGTGACATTATTAGATGCGGATTACTAATAATCTATGCTGATACACCTACAGGGTGCAATTGAAATTGCGCGCCGTCTTTTGCAAATAGGCTTAACAATGATACTTATTACATTTGGGAACTAAAAAAAATACACAAAAAACACATCGTATTGTTTATATGTTTGTTTACTTTACTTTTTGCGGATGTTGATACTTGGAGGTTTGTTGAAGTTACGACACATGTACCTACTTATTTGTTTCATTACTTTTAAATAGTTACTAGCGATAATATACCTTTAAAAATATGTCTAACTACATTTTAATGGTTTTGTCGCATTATTCACGTTTTATTACCTAATGTGCAATTAGTACCTTTAGAAGAGCGTAATTACAAAAACTACCCGCGATTTCAATTACACTTTACGTATGCTAAAGAGTTTGTTTGTATACGATATCTTCGGAACTACTAATTTGAAACATCACGGTACCTACGATAGAAGTGAAACCGGGCGAGTAGCTAGTTGTAGATATAACCTTGTAAAAAATTCCATAACCTACCTACCTTATAATAATATTCTACACCTATATAATGGGGAATTAATCCTCAAAATTGTAAAAGTAAGTAAAAAGTAAGTTGAAAGTTAAATACTTAATTTTGACGTTTTTTTATCAAAATAAAATAAAAATTATATGCTCAACTTACTGACTACTTACTAAAACTTTTATGTTTAGAGGTCTAGCATCTAGTTTAACCTAATATACTCCATATCCTGCCACCATCCTGTTACCCATACAATTAGAGGCTGCAAGTAGCGCTCAGAACTAATGCGTCATTGCTCGTTGGCGAACTTATATTTGTACCTACTATTGATGCTGTATTGTAATGCTCTTTATACACCGATGTAAATATAAAGTATCAAACAATCCGCACTTAATAATGTTACTAGCTCGTTATGTCCTATATTCTGTATATTAATGTAAACATTGGCACAGGGAGAAAAAGGACCACCCCCTGGTGGCCAAAGTCAGGAGAAGGCGGACAAAAAGTCCAAACACGTGAGCAGCAGGTATGATCTTTTTCTATTTTTACCTAAATTATAACTAATTTAATTACATTTATTTTAGAGTACTGACGTTATGACCAGTTTCAATCAATTTGCCATGTACCTACTCATGGTGACTGATTTGAAGAAATTATGTCTTGCTGGATCGGTTCAGCTATGATTGTGCCCGGTGCTTGAATCCGTTTTAAAATTGTCCATAAATATACCGTAGCTTACCTTCTATCAGCTCGTTCTTCAGTTCGAGCAGCTGGCTCTCCAAAAGCGAAGGATGACATATAAGATGCTGGAGGATCATGACCTTTATGAGGCAAGCCTTTTATAAATCTAAGATATAGACATTGCCTTTCCCGGACACTAGAAAAAGCTTGAGTTCTCACAGAGCTTTGTAAATGGCATATAGTGAACAACGTCCGTTCTTGAATTTTGAACGAATGCATAGAGTAACTGATTAGTACCTACTCGATCAAATTCGTTTTGTTAGCTGAATGTGCTACAACATAGCATAATAAGTAAATAGACAATGAGATAGACAACGAACAGTATTACATGGCGTAAACAAGCTTAACATACACAATTACCTTGTTTTAATTTTCAAGCAACGTGACATAAAAGGGGAAACCATGTATTTAGGTTTAGATATTCTTGACTTACGTTGATTACGCCACGTAATTTATTGGTTCATGGTGCGTGTTTCCTGCGTGACCAGAATATTGACGAATTAATGATAATATGTATAGTAGGATTAAAGTGATGACCAATCCAATAATGAACTACTAAAAAGTTTAATTCAGCTCTAAAAAGTGTTATTTTTTATCACTTTGTGTAAGTAATTCATTTTTGGATATTAGGTATTGGGCTTTTATCAATAACCCTTAAGACTCAGCTTGTGTAGCTTCAAATATTTAGTTTATCACATATGAAATTAAATAACAGTTCAAATAAGTATCAGCTGCGTAGATGAGTAGAAACAAAAACAATCTACTTAATGAAATGCGTACGAGTTTAATATCGTAACTACGTACCTATATCTAGTTATTTATCACTTTCTCCTTCTTAATAATGAAATATAGAAAACTAAGGTACTTAACATATTTTGGTATTCGAATTATTTCCGATCTAAACGTAATACGTCATAATTAGTTTTATATTGAAAATGTGATTGCTTGCAACATGTTTACAACCTAGGTACATTATAGGCAATTACAAGATTGCAAAAACGAGAGATTTGGGGTACTAGTAAAGTAATCGAGATATTGTTATGTCTAGGCATAAGGGCGGATCGCTGAGCCCAGGATCACGAAAGGAGGACAAGGGAGGCTGACACCGTCGATGGCGCAGGGTGCGCGACTGAGTAGAACCTAGAAAACTACGCTTCGGATGGCTTTACAAATGGTGCTCGTAGTTTTCTTAATAGTCACCGTATCACGTTAACATGGCAAGTGCAACACTGCGCCGCTGGCAATGAACTAACCACATATATACCGAAACTAAAAACGTTGTTTATACCACAGGTCTATATCTATCTAGGGTAAATGCACCTGTTATGGACACAGATCAAGATATCTTTTTAAACTACATTTTATTCCACTAGGAGTTATTCAATTACGACATTTTCTTCGATGTTACTTTGGCCTATCGACAATTTTTAACTATCACATTACACTCATCAGCAATTGAACAGCCTATAAGTCAGTACAAATTTTTTGATAAATTAATAATGATTAGGTATTACTTAGGAATCATGACATATAAGAAAATTCCTAGGAAAATCTGTTGTTTGTAGAGTTATAAAACAATAGGTACAATAATTCTAGATTATAATGGAAAACCTTATCTAAAAGAATACCTACTGACAATATCAATGCGACTAATAGGTACCTAGAATTAATCCGGTTTGCAACATTTAATACGTATGTATGAGTATGCTTCTATTAGATAAGTAAACTTTTTCATATAATCACTGATGATGCGAGTTTGAAAATGGCTAACAAAGAAAATGTCAAAAATTATTGCTGTCCGTAATTAGTGCATTTACCTTATCTAGTTTTTATAGTTCCAATACAAGTAGGTAGGCAATTGCCTTCTTTTAAGAGTTGTGAAAAACGAAATTAATTGTGATGTAGGCAGTAATTTAAATATTTATAAACATGTAATTAATTAGGTAAGTAGGAAAATGGTCAAAACTATATATTCGTTGTATTTCTTGGTCTTCAAAAATACCTATTTCATTGATTTAACAAAGTTTTAACATAACCGTAGTAAGGAAATACTGACAGTGTACTCAGTGGTGGGAATATTAGCAAAACTTGTATAAAATCCATAATCTTTCCATGCATGTATTATGTTATTATGTATTTTCTTCGTATTTTAAGTGGTTGTTTCAAATAATCTAATTAGGTATGTACATTTCTAGGAACATACAATAAGTTATTTAATTATTAGTGATGACAATTACTTATTGTTTACTGCTTTATGTATATTCAACTTGATGGGGAATGGATGCGACAACTAAGTAGTGAAAATAAAATAGAAATAGATGTCTATCTATAGGAGTATATATATAGGAGTCTTCCTATGATTTCTATGGGGTTGGAAGATTCACGCCATCCATTTCTAAGTCTAAGGAATGTTAACCAAGTCATCATCTCTATTCCGATATAGCTATCGGCTCGGTCTACATATCCTCCCTACATAATGTAGGTACATTACCTAGTAAACATTGTTCTTATACTTTATCTACGTTTGCATTGTAGAAAACTTACTTACATTCCAGATGCTATACAGATAGATGCTATGCAGATAGAATTTGAACGAATGAATTCGAAACAATGAAGTACCTATTTATATATAACATTTTTTGTAAATATTTTCCAAAAATGTACTGATTTGAACTAGAAGACTATGAGACTGTGACTGTGTACAGTTTCAATTTACCTTTTTATCTACCCACGTAGAGCTAAATTCTTTTTAAGACTTTATACAAAAAAGGAATTCCTTCTTGTACATGTAGTAACAAAATTTTAATAAAACTAATATTCTACTCTCTTCTGGTCTTAGATGATGATATTTATGACTAAGACCACATTTATGAATAACTAGTAACTAGGTACTTATATCTTTTTATAATTTCTTGTCTTGTAAAATATTATTATAAAATTAAGTTATGCGTGCGTGTCTTCGTACCGTACCTATGTTGTAAAAACAATGTTACCTTCTAAGAATAGGCATCAGTATACGTATATGTATTGTAGCGATATACCTAATAAGGTACCTGTGTTTATCTAGAGTAGGCAGACATGGTAAGTAAGGTAGCAAAGCAGAAAGCAAAACTGTTTAAGTAGTCCTACTACTATACAACATACTCAGGCTATTGATATCTTACTTTTACCTATAAGAATAAATGTTTATTTAGTATTTCGGCTTATTTATGTATAATGTAGTTATTTAAGACACTATTACCAAATATATTTCATATTCATATTAATACTTTAAATAACTACATAATATAATTGATGTTATAATTTTTGTTTTACAAAGTTAAAGGAAAAATAATAAATCTTTGATGTTCATTTTAAAAATCTTTGTATTGAATACATATATATATTTGTAAATACTAAATAGTAATTATACTAAATAGTAAAAAATATTATTAATAAGTTTATATTTATATAAGTAGACAAAGATATTATGTACGGTAACTTCGCCACTAATTTTAAATTAGTAGGTACAAATTTTATTTGTACTTTAAAAGCACAGCAGTGTTCCTTTTCTGTCAGTAACCGCGACAAAAATCACTTAAATAGAATCACTTCACCGTCACCGTTCGAACTTTATTGTACTGTATTATAAATGTTTCAAACAGATAATACTTACTTACTTATTTTCAATTCATAAAAGCTATAGCATAGCTATAGCTATAGCACAGTATATAATTATCTACATAGCTATTTTAGCTGCCATCCGAAACAACCTGTCAATGTTATTTCGGATGTGCAATACCTACGGCATCATTTGCTCCATTTTTCGCGATCGAAGGTCGAAGTGTGCTAAGCTAAAACCAGTCATAAGTGGCACAACCGGGTACTTCGGTAATAAGAACTGGTAAAGTGGTAATCCATCTTGTAGTAGTAGGTAATTTCTTATTTATTCAATTATGAATTGCTTTTAATGCTTTTGAGGTCAAGTCATTTATTTTAATTAGACCATTATAAGGCAATTTTTAACGACAAATAACATATTTAAAGCTACAAAGTATAAAAGTGTCATCTGTCTGTCAGCTCTAACTGGTACGGACATGGGTGGGTACAGATATTGTCATGTAGGTACGACTTTAAAAATAGCGGTTGGCACACCGTTGTATATCTGGTAAAGTATATTTTCTAAAGTAGTAAAGTACCTATAGTTATTGCCCAGTTGCTCGAGTAGTCACACGAATGGAACAGCAAACAAATATCGGTTCTAAACCAAGGATGTCTATGTGACTATAGGTATCGTTTGAATGTGCAGAAAAAAATAGATTTACCTATCAATTTAAAAGTTCACAAAGTTTAGATATCCTGATATACCTATATATATATATATATATATATATAACGGTGTAACAGTAACTAAGTAGGTACACACCTCTTACAAGATTCACTTATTAAATAGTTAAAAGTAAACACGGTCGGAATCTGTCAGTAATACTAAGAAGTAACTACCTACCAACAGCTACGCATAAGTTTTACATTGCTGCATAGACAGTACATATATGAATTATTATGCAATCCTAACAAGTCACGGAAAAATATATGAAAAAATTGCTACTTTCGAAAGGTGCTATGAATAGTGATACAATTTTAGGAACAAATATAATTCATTTAAGTACCTATACTTACTTTAACGGTACTTTATGCGCAGCCCTGTAACTAAACTGTTTCATGTAGATTCAAATTAAAATGTCAAGATTAAAAGTGTGTTTTTATTTAACCATAACAACTTTTTATTTCTCTGCTCAAGTAACGAGTTAAAAATTAATAGTCTAACACGTTCCATAATGACAGATAACTTGTTAACTAAAGAAAATGTGTATCTATGTATGTGTGTGTGTTTATTTAGAACAATAAATATTATTATGTGTACGTGTGTGTTTGTTTTTGTATAATGATTGACAGACCCTTATTAGGACACTACTAGAACACTTAGTTTAAAATTCCCCATTTTCTTATGATATCCTACTCAACACAAGCACCCCGGTTAATAATGTCCAGAATTACCAGATACATCGAATCTGAATAAAAACGAAAGAAATTGCTGTAATTGTGTACCTATTAGGTAATAAAATGCAAAGCCTTTGACATGTTGTTATTCATATTATTAGACGGATATTATTGCTAGTCAACACTTAAAAGCAATGTTCAAAATACTTCGTAACTTCAATCAATTAACCTCAAAGTAGTAAAATCCTCGGAAACAGCGCCGCATGTAGTTTCAACACTTTGCAAGATTAATATTTTCAGTAATACGACAGAATTGTAGTAGGTATAAGCAGTATGTCCTTAGGTACTTACCTACAATACTGGATGTCACTGGACAAAATAATCGTCACACAGGTACCTAATGTAGCGTGATACACTAGCGGGTAAGCGCACAGAGATTTCACTTTTTTTTTGAGGGGGGAAAATTACCTATGACTTCTGCCGCCCGGGTGAGGCGCGAGGGAGTGTCAGACTCTGACTAAAAACCACCCCGTTCCTACTCCTCCACTTCGAGCCGGAGCCCCGGCAACCCGTTAAGTCCTCCGCGGCTCCGTGCCGAGAGTGTCATCGGCAATCAACGATTAGCAATGATATCGTCGAACAATATCACAGTTATGTAATAAAATGAAACAAAAAATAACGGAACAATAGAAAACAATACTAATAGTACCTATTTTATAAAATTAATAAATGAATATCAATACTTTGGCATTCGCAAGTAGGTACAAAAAAAGAAAAACTTTACATACAACAAATTATTTGTTTCTACACTGGCTTTCACAACATTTTCCAGTTGGCGTGATTTGAAACACGCGATTCTTTCGGTCTCTTGCATAAACCGGTCCGGGTTGGGCCCATATTCCTTTCTTAATACATGGCAACCACACAGCTGCCACAATCACAGCCAATATTACACCATATACCATGTTTTACATTGCATTTGTTCTTCATCTGCAAAATAAGGACATCTTTCATACCTACCTATTCATTACCTTTTAGCAATTATGTTATTTTAAGAAGTTATTTAGACCAATTAGTCCTATTGACCTAAACATCTAGAATGGAATTCGATTGGATTCGTCGATACAACATACAATAATTTCAATATTTTCTCTTGATTTTATTGTAGTTACAAATTCATTAGTAGACTCTTTAGTAAAGAAACCAAGGTATGCTGCAAGTCCTGGATGGTCTCAACCACAACACATTGTCACTTATAACAATAGAATCGTGTTAGAGGTACATTAGGTACTTGTTCAATAGGTAACTTTCTATTACATTGGTCAATTATAAGTTATATTATAAGATCCAATTCTAACCGATCTGAAAGTCATTGGGGATGGGGATCAAGTCAATTAGGTCATTTAGCATGACGCATTATGTTTACAATAATTTGCATGCATGGCTGACATGATGAAATTTAATATATTTCATACCTGACTGTGGAATGTGCTCTGAATGGCGAATTAGAAATTGTAACGAAACCTGTGATAATAAGATATGTACTTACATAATTTCAACAATTACCTACTTTACAACGCGAGTATGATAAATCATACGGTTGTGTTTTGTTATCTACACATAATTTTATTTACTTATTGTACCACATATACCTGCAGACAACAGATTAATAAGTGCTTTTTAATGAAATGCTCAATGTATATTGGTTCTCCAAAACGTTTCATGACATTTTAACCTCTGCTACTGTGACGAGTTGTCAATGTGTAGTGTGTGACGCTATGACTTTGAAGCATAATCACAAGGACGTTGCAAAAAGGTAATCACGGCAATTTAAGCAATGAGTTCAGAGTTGACACTGCAAAATCGAGGCAACCGCTAAGAAGAATAATCACAGATAATTGTCAAATTTGTAGGATTCCTTGATAGCCAACAATCCAATCAATAGTTAATATAGATAGCTAATTTACTATGCTCGGAACAGTCATTAATATAAATCAGAATGTGAATGTGAAAAGTGAATTTATAAGAAAATAGTTAAGTATTGTTTTCTCAGAATCCAAAATATGTACATTGCTGAACTGTGCAGATATATTTAGCAGACATTTCTGCTAAATGTCATCTCTGGCTTTAGATTCCGTTGAGATCTCAGGTGGCTACAGTCAGTCTTCAGTCAAATATACGTAACTAGAACGTCAGGATTGAGGAGCAAAGAAAATGCGTTCATATACCTACAAAATTTTCTCTATATTCCTATTTTATTTCTATACTGCAAAAACCCGGGTGGGTCCCAAATAACGGCGGGAGGAGTTACCATCGACGTCGAGACGACGATGAAGTACCTAGGACTCGTCCTCGACAGTCGGTGGAACTTCAT